TTCTCAGCCCGCCTGGGAGGGGCGGAGGAGAAGGAAACGTGCGGGTAGGGCGAGCCCACCGCATCCACCCCGCGGAAAGTAAGCGCCCTGCCGGCAGGCAGCCCGGGAACCGCGGCTCCGCGGGCGCGGAGGGGGATCCGTGGGAGGCGGGCGGTCGGGCTGTAGCGGGGCTTGCAGCAGAAGCCGGGGTTCTGCTCCCAGCCGCTCAGGACGACTTTGCAGGAGACTTAAGGTGGCTTTTTAACCTTGGGGTGCTCAGGATGATAGACGCAGGTAGGTTCTTCTTGCAGAAGAACTTCTGTGCTAGTCAACCCCGATGAGTGTGGAAAAGTTTGTGAAGGAAAAGTCATAAACTGAGATTGGCTGAAAAGGCTTTGGCTTGATGCAAGGTTTAAAAGCCTGGGGGGAGCTGGGGCGTTAGGAAGTGCTCTGTGATGCCTCTGCTGCAGCCATCCCGAGAGGGACTGGCTCAGTTGCTGTGAACGTGGAAGTTTCCGTGAAAAAAAAAGTCCTTCTTCACACATAGGAGGGATTGCCTTAACCTTAAAGTACTCCATGAAAGTAGCTTTTATTTCAAAAGCAACAGTTAAGGGGTGTCTCATGCCCTTTTCCCGCGCTGTTAGAATTTGCTTGAGTAAACAGTGTGATTTTCAAATGTGGTGGACTTCATGCCATGTCCCTGCCTGTGGCAGGGAGCTAGATGATCTTTAAAGTCCCTTCGAATCCAAACCATTCTATTATTCTGTTCTGCACTTATGTTGTTCTCATTTTCCTGTCTGTCTGTTTCATGAATGTGAACTCCTGAAAGTAAACCTGTAGATCTGCATGCAAGTGGGTCTCCCACAAATAGCGGCTTTTGGGAGCTGGGAGATACTTAAACATCTGGACCACAGAGCCTCCTCTTGGTCTTTTGCATTATTTCTAAAGACCTACCTCTAGGTCTCTTGACATCCTGCCGTGTGGGACTTAGGGCATGGAAAAAAGTTCAGAACAGATGGGAATTTTGTCATCAGTGTTGTGAAGTCTCATGCAATCCCACAACTTTCAGCTGTGTTTGAAGGAATTCTGTTAGGTGGTACCTCCTGTTTTGGAGGCTTCCTGTTAAAAATAGTTCAGTTTCTTATCCGGAAAACAAGGTTTAGTGTATAAAAACTTAAAAAAATGGTGTTCCTGCTGTAATTCTGGCATCAGGTCAAAAAATTTGATTCTTCCTTCACAGAATTTCATCCTGAATTGTCTTTGAAATATTCTGTTGGTTTTGTGGTTGTTTTTTTTTTGTTTGTTTTCTTACCTTAGATTTTTCAGTAGAAAGCTAGGTTCATAAATGAAGGGAAATGGCTGTTTTGAATGGATTTTGATATGAACTGAACAACAGGTTGATTAAGGCTGTGTGTATTTGTAAATATAAAGGTTTTTTATTGATCATCTGTATCAGAAGAGAATACAAGTAAATATGTAAATGTAATGTAAATACAATGTAAGAGAGCCATGTTTTTTAGCAATATGATTTTGACATTCTTTTTTTTTTTATTTTATACAATTTCATCAGCTGTTAACTATGTGAAGTGAATTAAACATCGTTTCTGGCATGTTGCACAACTTTGCAAGGGAAGATGGTAAAGAATCTGCCAGTTAGAAATAATAAATTAGTTCATTTAAGAAAAAAAAAAAGCCAAAACAATCGTTGACCCTTAAAGCTAACATGTTCGATAAATTAGTACTTATTTTGGGGCAAAGCGAGGAAGAAAAAGCAGCTTCGTTGGTGTAGGATGCTGCTCAGAGTAATGCGTGGTGACAAGTGCAAAAAGAAGCCTTACACCCTCAGTGTGTAATGCCTGTGTTCCCAGAAGCTGATGTAAAATCTTTTTTTTCCAGCAGACTGCTCCAAAGAAAAGTGCAAGCAGTGATGGGTGTCTCTTTTTCTGTGTCTTTAGATTACTACTGTCAGAACTAGTTAACAGATGAAGCATTTAATAACTGGTGACGTTAAATGAACTTTTGTCCTATTTCACCTGGCCACATGTTTTGTATCACTTTGGGTATGTTTTCCATTCCATGTCAACTCAGACATATTCAAGAAAGCAAACTGGATGCTTATTTATTTGTTTTGAATTAAATTGTAGGTTTTATTGGATTCTCTTAATGTTTTTTGAGAAGCCGAATTGGCAGAATTAGGCAGAGTTGAGTGCTGCAGGCTCCTGAGTTTGCTAGAAATTAGGAGGGTTCAAGATGTCCTGCTAGATCATGGAGGCAGTTGTCAGAATTGCAAAGTAACCTCTGTTAAACCAAGCTATCCATCTGTAGGAAGAAAAAGACAAGTGAACCTTGGGACAGAGGTCTTATTCAGTGTTATTCACGTGTTATTCAATTGCATACTAACATCAGGTAAGAATTGGACCCATTCCTCGTGGGATTTGTTGAAATCTCAATTTAGCTTGTACTTCATCCAAAGGTGTAAAAAACGTAACACTTTATACCTGAGCTACTAAGGAGAGACTTATTCCCACACAGCCTAGATCATCAGCCATTTTTCTCTGCAGACCCCTGTCTGTTAAATTCACCCTAAACTTTCCAAAGCACATGTTCATGCACCTTTTTTGTCATTTTTTGATTTCAGGAGGCCGCATAGCTTGACATTCTCAGCGTGCATACTAATGTTTTAAATGTATCTTACACTGAATCCAGGGCCTGCTCCTCTTTCCTTGGTGTTGAGGTATCTTTCTCCAGTGCATCAAGGCAGAACTGGTCCTGTTGAAGCCAGATGGGTTGCAGTTAGTGGAGAAATGACCGGGGCACTGGGCTGTGCCTGCACGCATGATGTCAGCCTCCTAAATTTCAGCCAGCTGAATGCCATCCAGGGAGAAAATGTACTTTATAAGTACTGTAAATACGAGCTATTGATATGTCTTGAAGAATGCAGGATGCATGAGACTGTGTATAGAAGATCTACATTTTATTATTTATATTTTCAGCTTAATAGAGATACATATATAAAGTTAGTCTTATTTGCCAAGGGGATTATAACCTTTGGCTTTGTCTAACGCCAAGGCTGTGATGCTTTAATGATAATACTATTCAGACCCTTTGCTGTGATTGTTCTGGCAAAATTAATTCCCACATAGAAACACCTATGGTGATATAATGTTATCTTTGTTACTAATTATCTAGGTGTAAGCAGTTCAGATTGGAAAAAAGAAAAATTGTCTCACTGAAATTAATTTGCATGTAAATCAGACTTAAATTTCTATATTTTGAAGCCAGATTCTGCAGTATGTTTTGCAGAAGGGAGGAGAAGATAGGGCTGTCCTTAATTTTATTCCTCAGTAAACAGTCATGTGCAACCAGATGAGACAAAACTTTCTCCACCATCAAAGTGATGGAGAAAGAATTGATTAGTAGAAACTGAGGTGTAAGCAGAATTATTACAAAAAAGATCTACAAGTGGTTACTTATTGACTTTACTTCAGTGTATGTCTTGTTTTCCTGTGAATTCTTTCTTCTGCTGTCCTTCAGCACAATGCCACCATGCTTTTTTCCCCACCAAAACCATCCAGCTATTTGCCTTTTCAGTCACACAATTAGTGTGAGAAATACTCAGCATTGTATTTTTTAATCAGTTGTTATTTGTTCTGGGTTTTTTGTTTTGTTTTATTTTGTTTTTTCTTTATTAAAAAATTGTAGAAAGAGGATTTTGTATGTTCTTTCTGTTAGATATACTACCTGAGACCATTGTCAATCTAAATTACCACGTACCTCCTGAATGGGGGCAAAAAAGCAGAGAGCATCAGTACTTCAGATTGTTGATGACCGAACAGTAGAAGGTCTGCAAAGTGTACATGATTTACTCACCAGAAGAGACACTAAAGACAGACTGTATACGGTGGAGTTCAAAATCACTGCAGTAATGAGACATATTTAGCACAGTGAGTCTGTGACAGCAGGAAAGTAGTAAGAAGAAATACTTGCTATAAATGTTCACAATGACGCAAAGGTATGATAGGAGAAAAACCCAAACAACCTCTGCATCTTTAATAAACTTTGAACCCTGACGTTTCCAGTTGGTTAAACACATCTTTTTCTAGAAGACAATTTCCAAAAAGCAGTGGTTAGGTGTAATATAGAAGATGCTTGCATGTTAAAATGTTGTAATCATTCTAGAAGCCAATGACACGTGGAAGAAAAGTTTTCCTATTAGCTCAGCGAGCTATGGGTTTCATGCATTTTGCAGTGAGGAGATGAATTCCCTACATATGTATGTCCATCTCCATTTTAGTGGAAATTTCTGTGAAAAATTTGCCTGCAACTATGTAGAAGGCTTGCTAAGCAGTTATACATCTACATTAAACACTCTGCTTTTGCTTCACGCAATACACACACAATGTATTCGCTGCATGCAGGTATAAAAATTCATGTCTGTGGTGGGAGAGAGATGTGAGCCTTTGGGTGTTTGGCTGCTTTATAAACAATGAAGGAGAACATCTGTCCTCTGGTAAATGTGGGAGAAGTGAAATTGATATCACACCTCTGCCGGCGTTTGTAAACACATGAGAACTTCAGGGACCATGCTTGAAATTATTCTTTCTAGGTAAAAAAATGCTTTCACCTTATCCTGAAATTCTTTTCATTTAATTAAGGTCTAGCCAAGACTGAAGTTTTGCTTGGTGTGGATTGGCTTAATGTGGAGGAAGAAACAATTCTTCCTCTTGGAAGCTACTGCAAAAGATATGTCTTACCATGCATTTTCTCACCTGAGGAACTTTGATAGGAAGGTGCAAATAAGCTTCTCCAGGCTAAACTGAGCTAGGGAAAAACTGTTTAGAACAACAAATAAAATGTGAACAAACTGATTTTTCTGTTGAAAAACAGAGAAAAAACTGAAAAGACTAGAAGCCTTTCTTACAGGTTAAAAAGGGAGAAACTGTTAGTAAATTATGTACCTACTTTTGATCTTCATATGGAAAGAATTGATTTTACCTTTTGTTTCCTTCTGTATTTTCAGAAAGGCACCCACTGTCAGAGGAAACAGCGGTAGCTGCCCATTGATGGAAGGGCTGTCCCTTTGCTCTGAAGGAGGACATGCTGAAACACCTTTTTAATACACCTTCCATTCTGAGCTTCAGAAAAGATTAACATGAACAATAGCAGAGATAAACTTGAGGTGATTGTTTTCTTGGTTGTGCTGCCCTGGAGTTAGCTGCAGAGCTGACCGCTGGAAAGGCACAGTGCAGGAAAACACTCCTGTACTGCAGTACTGTTATTTCACACTTGCCTAACCATCTAAGATGTATCTCAGCTGAGTGAAGATTGCAAGATTCTGAGATGATTTGACCTGTGATGGAGGAATGCTTCTGGGAAACTGCTGGAGGATTTCAGCACAGTGGTGTCTCTGCCCTTACTGATCTGTGTTGAAGTGCAAAATGAACCACACTTGGACATACAACCTGAGCTTTGGTGCATCTACAGATCCTGTTGAGCCAAGGGCTGGCCTTGCACGAAGTGGGCACATAGTAGTAGCTGTTTTTCTTGGGTTCATCTTTGTTTTTGGTTTCTTCAATAACTTGATTGTCCTCATCCTCTTCTGCAAGTTTAAAACCCTCCGTAACCCAGTCAACATGCTTCTGATGAATATCAGTATCAGTGATATGTTGGTGTGCATCTCTGGCACTACCCTTAGTTTTGCATCTAACATACATGGCAAATGGATTGGAGGGGAGCATGGTTGTAGATGGTATGGCTTTGTCAACTCCTGCTTTGGTAAGAGTTCAGTGATAATTCTTTTATTTTTAACACTGGTACATGAAGCAACTTGATCAGTGCACTCGATACTTCTCTGTGGTAAACAGAAGGAGGTCTTGATTGTTTTGTTATGGTCAATCACAAGTGAAATGCATAGGATTGTAGAATCAACTAAGTTGGAAAAGATCTTTAAGATCATTAAGTCCAACCATTACCTCAGGACTGGAAAATCCACCACTAAACCATGTCATAAGGGCGTCATCTACACGGTTTTTGAATATATTCACCACCTGTTACTTTGGATAAGAGACTGACCCCCACCTCGCTGCAGCCTCCTTTCAGGTAGTTGTAGAGAGCAGTAAGGTCTCCCTTGAGCCTTCTCTTCTCCAGACTAAACAGCCCCAGTTCCCTCAGCCCTTCCTCATCGCACTTGTGCTCCAGACCCTTCCACCAGCTTTGTTGCCCTTCTCTGGATCCACTCCAGCACATCAATGTCTTTCTTGTACCGAGGAACCCAGAAAAGAACACAGGATTTGAGGTGTGGCCTCACTGGTGCTGAGTACAGGGGGATGATCACTGCCCTGGCCCTGCTGGCCACACTGTTGCTGGTACAGGCCAGGATGCTGTTGGCCTTCTTGGCTGCCTGGGCACAAACTGCATCACGTTCAGCTGCCCAGCAATCAGTACCCCCAAGTTCTTTTCTGCTGAGCAGCTTTGTTTTAGCATATTTTAACAACAGACTTTATGAAAGAGTAGAACAGATCTGATAAATATTTCCTAATATATAAATTTTTAAACATTATTTGATTGTAAGATCTAAAAATGGCTTCTAGAAAGACGCAAGCCACTGGAAGGAGTTTGACTGAGTATATGAACATACATAATACTTCCCTCTTTTTCAGGAAAATCTGTGCCAACACTGAACTAGAGGCCCTTCAGTTCTGCTTCTGTTGTTAACAAAGGCTCCTGAAAGTAATCCATTTACCATTTGTAATTATCTATCAGTCTATCATATAAATTCCCTCATGTCCCAGATAATGACAGTTTTCATCATTAGATGCTTTCCTTTCTCCCCCAAAGCAAAATCTTTATTTTAAAATTATGTTCTTGTAGGTTCAATAGCAAATTAAGTCATACTTTGATTTGTTGGAAATAGTCAGTGTGCATCAAAGCATAAAGCAGTTGTCAGTGTTCCTCTCCTGTCCAGACAAAACTTTTGCTGCAACCAGCTTTTGTGCTGCTAGCTTCAAGTGTTTTAACGAACACTGTTTTAGTTATCAAGATAAATCAAGATAAAAGAAAAAGCACAGTCAGAGGCAGCCATCATCCTTCCAAGGTGCCCAGTCGCTCTAAGAATTACATTACCAAGCAGTGCGTGCACTTATTCCTATGTTCAAAATGAAAAAGAAGTCTACTAAATCATAAAGTGGCCTGTGGGTGCACATCTAGACGTGATCCTTATCTAACCCAGACTGCGGGACCTGGCTTGGCTCCCTCTTGCTGTACATCCTTTCCCTGGTGCCTCAGGCACCAGGAGTGGACCCAGTGCATCCCTGGCTCTTCTCCCACCCTGGAGCTGCGGTATGGCTTGTGCTGACACTTTGCACTGCAGCCCTGGATGTAGAGTCAGACTGCAGATCCAAACCCACATTTTCTACCTGAATTATAAGCTCTTATTATTTCCAATGGTGTGACCCCTGGTCCCCTTCCCTTCCTCAAATGTGTGCTCCACTGATGACAGTTAACTCAGTCTGGCAGCTTCCCCTGGGAATCTGCTGCTTAGCCCAAAGTGAGCTACCAGGAGCCAGCAGTAAAAGCACTGACTTTGGCCTTCCAGAAATAGAGCCCGTTATCAACAATACCTTGTCTTGTTCTGACAGGCTGCTTTTGGAAGGAAGTTGTGGCTGCCCCATCCCTGGCAGTGTTCAAGGCTAGGTTGGATGGGGCTTTGAGCAACCTGCTCTAGTGGAAGGTGTCCCTGCCCATGGCAGGGGCCTTGGAACTGGTTGAGCTTTAAGGTCCCTCCCAACCCAAACCAAGCTGTGATTCTGTGATTCTGCAGCTTAGTCTGTGCAGAGCAGGATGAGATGTTTTCTCCTTGCACATTTCATTTCCATTTTTGTGAATTTTATGAATTCCAATGTTTCAGTGATTAGTCTTCTTGAGGAGAAATGGGTTAGGACTATTTTTTCTCCGTCCTTTGATTTAGCCTTCTTTTTTATTATTTAGATATGGGATGGGAGAATAACAAAAGTACATGCTTAAGGGATTAGAAATAAAAGCATGTTGAAGGTGCCCTTTGAGCCTGCTGGCTTATGTCAGGATATCTATGTATTATCACCTGGGTAACTGGAATTAAACCAGTAAATGGGTACAATTCTCATGGGGTGACTTCCTTATGGAATAATTCTTAAGTTAGATTTTCTGTGTAAATCAGATGGATGGCAGGAGTTCAGATTTGTGTGCTGTTGTGATACCAGTGTTAATGTGAGACTTTCTGCTAGAATTCTTAAAATTGAGTAGATCATCAAGGAAGCAAACATCAACAAGCAAGCAAACAAACCCAGAAACCTCAGAATGCCAAAGGTGACCTCAGCTGCTCTGAGTGGTGTTGATGCTGTCAGCGGAGTGTCTGGGTGGCTGAGGCAGCCTAAAAGCAGGGAGTTATTGAACTGTGCATGTGGAAACCTTTCATGACAGTGTTAGAGGAACTCTTTTGCAATTCTTTTCTCAAAGTCTTGCAGCACTCACGACAATTTTTGTTTCATTAGTGTATATAAAGGGCATACTGAGGAAGTTTGCTTGCAGAGTTAAAAAATGTTCACTGGAAAATAAGTAAAAGCAAATAATAGTAGCAGGTTGCCTAACATTTATGTGTCTCTATAGATAGATTCTGTCTGCTGATAAATACCATTATGCATCAGGGGGTTTGAAGTTTTGTACTTTTTTGTACTCTAGAGTGTGCTGAAAAAGAGCTATGGTAGGTGTGCAGTGCGGTGATGGTTTTTCCAGGTCTTTATAGCACTCGAAAACAAAATGCTTGGGTTACCATCATGTGTGCTGTAAGCACCACAGACTGAACAAAGAGCCATCAAATGGAATGGTTAATGTTTTTAAGGCTGTTGGAAAGTGACATGAGAGAATTCTGAGCTTTTTATTGAGACTGCAGGTATTGTTGCTAAAAGAATAAACAAATGGCATCTCGTTCATTTTAGGGTTCTTCTCCTTGTCTTCTGCTGACTTTGGAAAAATTGTATAAAAATTATCAAAGTGATTTAGGAACTCAAGAGACAGAAAATCAAGTATATTCTTGAGCTGATGGCTTAAGACTTCACTGATGGAGCAGTGTAGTTACCAAGGGTAAGGAAGCTTTTTGTCAGCAAGAGGATTTTTGACACCTAAGTAGTCCAGTTTAGATCACAGCTTTTGGCCTGACCACTGTGATTGCCTTCTGATGGTAAATCTGATTGGATTTATAAGCAAATGCAAAAGCCACAAAGAATACAAAATACTATATGAGGCTACTATATAAAAGGAGCATGTAAGAACACAGAAATGGCAAATCTGTATAGGGTGGGAAGAGAACATTTTTTTTTTATTTACACATTTTTGCAATCCCTTAGCTATTCTTAAAAAAAAAACAAACCACCACACAGTATATATACTTTTTATTTGCTAAAAATTAGCTTACCCTTGTTTGTGCCTCATGTTTAATTTCGGTCTGCCAAGGCTAAGACGTATGGTACTAATTCTCAGGGTCACAAATAGAGATGTGTAGTATGAAAGGTAGTTAAGAAGAACTGAAGTTCCACATCAAACTTTGTTAGAATAAACACTTAAAATATTCTTATATGTTCCTTTTTTTTCCTCACGGGATAGATCCTATCCTACTACGATAAACATCAGTATAGGGCCTGAATTTCAGATGATGTTACAGTAAGTTCGCTGGCTTCAGTAGAATTGCACTCTCTTGTACCAAATGAAGGTATGTGCCTTTTTTTTTTTTTTTTTAACTGCAGTATTTTCCTAGATCATGAGGAAATTTTAAGTGGGAAATTAATTTAAACTAAAAAAGGGGAGATTCAAGATGGATGTGAGGAAACAATCCTTTACAATGAGGTTGGTACAATACTGGCACAGATTGCTCAGAGAGGTGGTGGTTGCACCATCCCTGGAGACATTCAAGGTCAGGCTGGATGTGGTTCTGGGCAACCTGATCTAGTTGAAGGTGTCCCTGCTCATTGCAGGGAGGTTGGACTAGATGACCTTTGAAAGTCCCTTCCAAACCAAACCATTCTATGATTCTGATTCTGTGATTCTAATCTTCATGACTTGCTGAGTATCTGATGATGTGTAAACCACACCTAAGCCAACTTCAAACTGTTGAAATATTTCTAAATGCAATTTGTTCTTAAAAGGCTTCTGGGAAGAAGTGGTTATTTCACACACACACATGCACAGTTTCTTTTGTGATGCTATGAAAACCTTAATCTTTTTCTTTTAAACCAAATTGAGAGTGCAGGTGTATCCCCAGGTCTGTGGCCTGGATGAAACCTGAGCCAGTGAAATTAGGAAGCTGAGATTTGTTTCAAATATAATGCATGGTGAGAGATCACTATTTTCTTTCTCTGAAGTGTCTTTATATTTTTTTAAAATCATACAATCATAGAACAGTTAGGGTTGGAAAGGACCTTAAGATCATCCAGTTCCAAACCCCTTGCCAAGGGCAGGGACACCTCCCACTAAGCCATGTCACCCAAGGCTCTGTCCAACCTGGCCTTGAACACCGCCAGGGACGGAGCATTCACAGCTTCCCTGGGCAACCCATTCCAGTGCCTCACCTCCCTAACAGTAAAGAATTTCTTCCTTATATGCGATCTAAACTACCCCTGTTTAAGTTTTAACCCATTACCCCTTGTCCTATCACTACAGTCCCTAATGCAGAGTCCCTCCCCAGCATCGCTATAGGCCCCCTTCAGATACTGGAAGGCTGCTATGAGGTCTCCACGCAGCCTTCT